TCACTTTCTTCTTGTGCAGATCTATTCCACTCCAAACAATCAGAAAAATATTGTTTCTATTCTATTCACTGAACTTCTTGAAACTTAGCAGTGAAGGGGTTGATTCTGTATTCATAGGTTTGTAGAAGTTAGGATGAAGGTCTTTTTCTTAACTCTGTTCATGTTATAACATTTTTGCTGTGAAGAAGAGGCATGTGATCTCCGCTGAGTCAAATTCAGTTTTGAGAACTGCAAAAGTAAACCGAGCATCTGTGATAATATCTTGTAGGCAGAGAAACTGCCCAATAATCTTACAAAAACCTCTGGAAGAGCATGACATTGTGAATGGATTCATGGAATTTATTTACCAAAAAAAATTAAACATCTGCAGCCTTATTCTACATAATTAAAAAACTAATCTTTATTTCATGATGGAATAACCTTTGGATGGTAATATATTTTCCTCAAAAAGCATTTTATTTAAAAAAAATCTGATTTAAATAAAAACAATCTGATTTAAATCAAACAAATCCGATTTAAATCAACAAAATCTGATTTTTTTAAAAAAAATTTTTAAAAATCATTGATTTTTATCCACCCTGGTTGTCAGGACGCCGGCGGCTAGAAGGTTGTGATGGTGCACAATGAAAACCTGTGGCTTTGTATAACTAATAGGCAGGCTTGTTACACCCGTTGGCTTGCATACAGTACAAGATTTGGTCAATTTTTAGGGCACCTCTGAAGAAACCTCCAGGCACCCTGGTTGAGAAAGGCTGATGTAGAGTACAAACGCACTATGTTATGAAGAAGAAGAGTGATGTTCTGTTTTCCAAACACCTTTCCTGGCCTAGAGTGACGATACTGCTTCATAGTTACAGTGCAGTGAGTGAGCTTTATTACAAGGACAGTAAGTGTGATACTGGCAGGATCACCTGATGATGATATCAGAAAAAAGAGTGAAAAAAAATGCAGACATCACATTTAAGAATTGGTCAATTCCAATACATTAGGGGTTTTTTTTATTTGTTTTTGTTCTTGGGTTTAAGCCACTGGGTTTGGCAAGATGGCTAAGGATTTAGTATTTTCAAAAGGAGAAACTACATACTACCCCACTACATGTTGCCTTTGAGGTGGACCTGAACTTAAAGTGATATTTAATACATTTTATTTATTTTTTTTAATAACAAACATGTCATACGTGCCTGCTGTGTGCAGTGGTTTGGACAGAACAGCCCCGATGCTCCACTTCTCGGGTCCCCAGCCAGTACTCCTGGTCCCTCCTTCCCCCAGCTTGCTATGGGGGCACCCGAACAGGCTTCACAACCACTTTACAATGAAGAGTTTTAGACTTATAGAAAAGATTTTAAAAAATGATTTTGCCTAAGCAGTACCTACTTTTTCATTTTTTAACTTAATGCATTCTCTGCATTCTTTTGTAATGAGGACCCCCCTCCAGCCCCTTGTTATACGTACCTGATCCCAATCTCAGTCCATAGCTGTGCAGTCTCTCTCCGCTCTCTACCTCCTCACAGATGGCTAGCATTGGGAGCCATTAGCTCCTGCTGCTGTCACTCAAATCCTATGATGAGGGAGCAAGAGGCAGAGCAAAGCCCTGCTCTCTGTGTCAATGGATGTAGCCAGCTGGCCTCGCAAGTGAGCCTGCACGAGTACCCCCTTCGTAAGGGGCTTGCTGCGGGGGTACTCAGGGGGAGGAGCTAGAAGTGGGGGACCCCAGAAGAGAAGGGTCTGGGCTCCTCTGTGCAAAACCACATGTATAACATGTTTGTTTTTTTTAGGTTTAATATCACTTTAACTTTTGCCTGGAATTCTTTCTTTAAAATTAGTAGTGCACTTCCTGTACATAGGCATTCCTATGCATTGAAGCTCATAGCTGGATATCTGCAGTGTGAGGTCATCTGAGGCACTTCTACCTCTGGCTATTAGTCTTTCCAGATTTGGGATAACATTTGGTAAGGTGTTACTAGTGCTGCTGACTGTTCACCTTGCTGGAGAGGATGCTGTACCTAGGGACCTGTAGTGCAAGGATCTCCCTTCTTCTTTCTTTTTTCCTTCTGTGATGTATCCATCCATCAGGGGGCAGCTTTGACATAAGGAAGTAAAGCCCCATCTTTACTAAGAAGTCCTCTACACAGAGACACAGTACAGAGCAAGGTATCCTAATGCAGGCCATACATGGGTCGAATTCAGAAAGATTTTTCATCCGAAAATTGAAAACGTTGTTCGCTCAGTAATCCGATGGTGCCATCAATGATTTTGAAAATCGGCCGACCAAGTCATAAAGTTCACCCCATATAACAGGTGAAACTTCTGTTCCCTCCAGGTTACGGCTCATGTGCATATTCTTTTCGGAAAAACGATCATACGATTTGACCATCATTGAGTCGAAAATCGGTCGTTTTTCACAAATTTTCCAACATGCCCGATCACCGAAAAGGGGAGGAACCACCAAAATCGGCCGGTGTCATTGACCCACTAACAGAGCAAAAATCTGCCAATTATTCTTAGGTCCGATTTTCGGACAAAAAATCGGTTGAATTTCGACCCATGTATGGCTGGCATTAGTCGGTAATGGGAAAAAGATCATCTGCAGGGGGCTGGTGACTACTCTGCCCTCTGTCTGCCTGTCTATGGCACAGCCTCTGCAGTTCAGGTCCTCTTTAAACGTAAAGTGAATTTGTGTTTGTCCCTGAGAAACAAAGCTAGCCATGCAAGCAAAGATTCATTTAGCTCACTGGCTAAAGTAGAATGTGAATGTTTTTTTTTTAGGCTCCATTCACACGTGTTTGACTTGTCATGCAACTTTGGACACATAAAGTCGAATGACAAATCGCAGCCCATGTACTCCAATGGAAGCCGTTCAAAACTATAGGAATTAAAGTCTAAAAAGTGGTAACGAGGTGCCAGAATCCCTTATAGACCATACGTGGAAAAACCCTCTTTTTGTGGGATTTTTAAGGCAAAACCAAAACAAGCTGTGTCTGTGTCTGAGTTCCCGGGAGTAGAGGAGGGGTCGGGGGCAATGCAGGCTTCTGGGAACACAGACACAGCTTGTTTTGGTTGAGCCTTAAAAATCCCACAAAGAGAGGGTTTTTCTATATGTGAATTAAAGTCACAGGAATTTTAAAAAGGTTCCTGCATTACTTTGATGCAACTTTTATGCAACTTGAGTGTCATATACTGCAAAGTAAACTCTCAAAAGTCACTTATCAATGCAACAGTTGTACAACAGTCAAGGCCAAAGTCGCATCCAAGTCACACCCATCCAAAGTTGCATCAAAGTCGCAATGTAAGGTTGTAATGGAAAACTTTGGAATCGCACAAGTGTGAATGGAGCCTTATTTGTGAAATTCTTGTTCCTGTAATAAGAAAAATCTACTTGCTTGAAGCTCTATTGGATTTATACCAAAGTTTGTTGTAATATCATTTTGAAAAAGAGTTACCCAATAGCACAGTCTCTTTATTTTAACTTTGTGATTTTTTTTTTTTTTTCCTTTTTTTTTATAGAGTTGATGAGATTTCAGCAGGTATAACCTCATGTTAACTTGGCGATTTTTCCTTTTTTTTTTTTTTTTTTTTTTCTTTTTCTTTATAGAATTGATGGGATTTCAGCAGGTATAACCTCATTTCACTAGGCGATTTTTTCCTTTTTTTTTTTTTTTTCTTTATAGAGTTGATGGGATTACAGCAGGTATAACTTCATTTTAACCTGGCGATTTTTCCTTTTTTTTTTCTTTATAGAGTTGACGGGATTTCAGCAGGTATAACCTCATTTCACTAGGCGATTTTTTCCTTTTTTTTTTTTTTTTTCCCTTTATAGAGTTGATGGGATTACAGCAGGTATAACTTCATTTTACTAGGTGATTTTTCCTTTTTTTTTTTTTTTTTTATAGAGTTGATGGGATTTCAGCAGGTATAACCTCATGTTAATTTAGCGATTTGTCCTTTTTTTTTTTTTTTTAATTTTCTTTTTAGAGTTGATGGGATTACAGCAAGTATAACCTCATTTTACTAGGTGATTCTTCCTTTTTTTTTAATTTTCTTTATAGAGTAGATGGGATTACAGCAGGTATAACCTCATTTTACTAGGCGATTTTTCCTTTTTTCTTTTTTTTATAGAGTTGACGGGATTTCTGCAGGTATAACTTCATTTTAACCTGGCGATTTTTCCTTTTTTTTTTTTTTTTTTTTTTATAGAGTTGATGGGATTACAACAGGTATAACCTCATTTTACTAGGTGATTTTTCCTTTTTTTTTTTTATAGAGTTGATGGGATTACAGCAGGTATATAACCCTATTTTACTAGGCAATGTTTCCTTTTTTTTTTTATAGAGTTGACGGGATTTCAGCAGGTATAACCTCATTTCACTAGGCGATTTTTTCCTTTTTTTTTTTTTTTTTCTTTATAGAGTTGATGGGATTACAGCAGGTATAACTTCATTTTACTAGGTGATTTTTCTTTTTTTTTTTTTTTTTTTTTATAGAGTTGATGGGATTTCAGCAGGTATAACCTCATGTTAATTTAGCGATTTGTCCTTTTTTTTTTTTTTTTTTTTAATTTTCTTTTTAGAGTTGATGGGATTACAGCAAGTATAACCTCATTTTACTAGGTGATTTCTTCCTTTTTTTTAATTTTCTTTATAGAGTAGATGGGATTACAGCAGGTATAACCTCATTTTACTAGGCGATTTTTCCTTTTTCTTTTTTTATAGAGTTGACGGGATTTCTGCAGGTATAACCTCATTTTAACCTGGCGATTTTTTTTTTTTTTTTTTTTTTTTTTTTATAGAGTTGATGGGGTTACAGCAGGTATAACCTCCTTTTATCACAGATGTTTATGTATACTGACCTGTTTACATCCTATTGATATGACCCTTGATGCTCCTTTTGTAACTTGTAACCTTTGCGCTGGGATTTCGGTGGCATCGTGATTTCTTTACTGTTTGTTCCTGTTTTCAAGTGTCCTGCCGATTTAATCCCCATCGTCTGTTTTCTGTTTGCAGTTCACTCCTTCCATCCGCCCGTTCCTGCAGACTATCTCTATTGGGTTGGTGTCATTTGGGGAGAATTACAAGCGTCATGAATCTGGAATAAGTAAGTGGTGAGAGTCCACATTCTTGTGGCTTTTTTAATTATTTCATTTTTGTTGTTTTTTAAAGTTTCTTTTTTTTTTTAGAAATGTAAAGCTTTTGTGAAAGTTTGCAATGTATTGCTTACACTCAAGTTGTGTCTTCAATACATTTCATCTGTTAACTGGCCATTATAAAGTAGGTTGTGGTAACCATCGCCCTCTACTGGTGAGCACTTTGACACATCACTGAGTTGCTGGTGCATGCCTGTGCATGTCAGGGATCATGTCACCAGGCATTGATTTGATCTGAGTTTGACATGAGCTCAACAAAATCGCATGGACTTTAACAGAGAATTACACACGGCAGTTCAGAGGCTGGATTTGATCAGTTTTGCATTAGGTTGTGTTTCCTTGGACACGTAGGGGTGGATTTACTAAAACTGGTGCATTCAAAATCTGGTGTAGCTGTGTATGGTAGCCAATCAGCTTCTAACTTCAGCTTGCTCCATTACACCACGTTCACATCGGTGCGATTTGCATGCCCTGCAACTTGCAAATCGCACCCTATTGTCCGCAATTGGAGCAATTGGATTTCAAAAGTAGTACATGCACTACTTTTGGTGCGATTTGCATAGAATTCTGTATCAGATGTCTTGTAAATTGCACCTGAAATCGGCATGTCCCCCTACTTTTAAATCATGTGACTTCACTGTAAGTCGCATGATTTCAAAGTCGGGCTTGATGTGAACGGGGGCTTAAAGCGGAGTTCCACTCACGCTGTCAAAAAAATAAGTCAGCAGCTACAAAAGCTGTAGCTGCTGACATTTAAAAAAACAGCCACTTACCTGGCCCACGGTCCCGCGGTGTGTCCCCCGCTGCCCGTTTCACTGCCCATCCTGTATTCCAGGAGGCCGGCATCTTCATTGTGGGCTCCCAGCTGTGACTGCTTGCAGCTTCACAGCAGGGTACCCACTGCACATGCGCGAGTAGCACTGTGCTTCATGAATGGTCCTGTAGTCTTCTGGGACCTGTCACGCGTCCCAAAAGACTACGGGGAGGGAAGGAGGGAGGATACCTTCCGCTTCTGATCGCCTACGCAATCAGACCGGAAGTGGGAGCGGGTACCTGTCAAATTCAGGTACCCGCTCCCCGCCCCCAAAGGTGCCAATCCTTAATGAGGAGCAGTCCTTAAAGCGGAACTTTCCCTTTTGGGTGGAGCTCCACTTTAAGCTTTGGCAATAATACCTGGAAGCTAATTGGTTTATATGCAGAGCTGCACCAGATTTTTCACTTTCCAGTTTTAGTGAATAACCCCCTCAATGTCCTTTTAAACTGCAGAAAAGTAAGGCAAACACTGTGTTTGTTTTCATTTGCATTTAAATAGTGGTTTGCTTCTGACATCAGTTTGCCAGCATGATCTAGTCCAAAAAGTGCCAAACGTAGTGGCAGTACTAAAGATCAGCTATCTTATGGTGCCTATAAATCCCTAGGCCAAGGCTGTTTTCAGCTGCTGTCAAAAAGCCCTCCCTCCTTCATAAATTAAAAGGATAAGTTCTCCTTTGGAACATGTTACATGTTCCACTTATGTTTAGGGTAGAGCATTTAACATGTTCCAGCTCCTGCCTCCTCTGCCCCTCCTCCCTGTGATAGCGGGTGGGGGGTCTTCTCCCTGCATCCACTGTCACAATTTAAAAACAGCGAGGCTGTGCGGGGCTCTTCCCTGAGAGACTCCTCAATAATTCACATTTTCTTGTGAATGAATACCTACAAGTATCATGACAGCTTGTCAATGAAATACTCGGGTGCTGGTGAGCTCTCCTGCTATTCTTCAGTTCGGTAATTGCCTGCCTGTATTAGGTGCAGACAGACAGCTTACTGAGTTATTTATTTATTTCAGGTACTTATATAGCGCCGTCAATTTACGCAGCACTTTACATATATATTGTACATTCACATCAGTCCCTAACCCTCAAGGGGCGTACAATCTAAGGTCCCTAACTCACATTCATACATACATATACTAGGGACAATTTAGACAGGATCCAATTCACCTACCAGCATGTCTTTGGAGGGTGGGAGGAAACTGGAGTACCCAGAGGAAACCCACGCAGGCACAGGGAGAACATGCAAACTCCAGGCAGGTGGTGCCGTGGCTGGGATTTGAACCAACGACCCTAGTACTGCCAGGCGGAAGTGCTAACCATTTAGCCACTGTGCTACCCGAATGGGTGTGGGAGTTCCTGCAGGATCCAGGCATTGCACCCACATTCAACTGATCGTGGGTGCAATGCCTTACAGACTTCAGTGTAAAAAAAATTATAAATGCACAATTTTTTTTTTTTACCTGCAAACAGATGTGCATTTATTTATTTTTTTTTGTAAATGATGAACTTATCCTTATCCTTTTAGCTCTGCATCCTGTCTTTTAGCTGTCACATGCCAGAGCCCCAATGAGAAGGAGGCGCTGGAATTTGACAGGTGATGGGGGAATGGCATAGTACCTTTAAAACGCACAGTTTTAAGTGTACATGGAGAGACGTCACAGCCCCCTGTGTACAGCGTGGACATTGATCTAAGAAGACTTCACAATAGTACAGGGACTGATTTGAATGCTAATGCGGGTACCAGCAAACATAAGACATTAGTCTTAACAAGTGTGTAATTTTGGATAGCTGGGAACACCAATTGTACAAAACAACCTTTATGACATCTCCAGTGTGTCCAACACTATACCCGGGGCCAGAATTAAAGTTTCTTTTGAGATGTAGGAATGTGCATAAGTGCATATTCCTAGTTCTTAGGCTAGGTTCACATCTGTGTGGGTGTTGCCGCTGCGGATCCGCACAAAAATCCACCCACACAGAAGAATGCAGACCCGCGGGCGGGTGCCATCAGTTCTAATGGCACACCGCCCTCACTGGAGAACGCAACCATACTGGGAACCGAGGTTTCCGAGCGGGCTACGTTTTCACAAGAAGTGCAGGGCCTTCTTCCCTGCGTGTCCCGGGGAACAGGAGTCCATTCAAAAGAATGGGCTCTCATGCCCGCGGATATTTGAACCAGGGGTCACACCCCACTCTTATATGACAAGTTCCAGGACTCCCCTAACAATATGCCATATCATCGATGGTACATCATTCTATCAGATCTTCGCAAAGAAAGAGGCTCTGTGATAGCAGAAGATATCACAGAATAAAAGCCTCCTATAAATGATAGCAGCCACAAGAGACCCCCCCCCCCCCCAATATTCACTTAAGGGCAGCTTACACTTGAAAGCAATGGTGCATTCAGAAGTCTGGCAGCTCACTAGTTAAGTTGGCCATACACAGTTAATTTTTTTTGTTCAGCCACTGATGGAGTTATCTCCTTCCCTGCCAGGACATTGTATTCTGAAAGCAGCACCCACAGCTGTCAAAATACACACATCTGCAGCTGCTGATTGAGGAATATTTTCAATTAAATCAAATGATCAGCTTCTGTTGAGGGGAACAGCCACACCCTCATCAAAATTTGTCTGGTCCCTGCTGAAGTGGCAACATTTTGATCAGTGTATGGTCAGCTTTACCCTACTGCCTGTTGACCTGGAGATGTGCTGTTCCCTGAAAGATATAGCAAGCATTTAAAAAAAGAAGTAGGGTTTTTTTTTTTTTTAATTTTTATTTGCCTAGGTGGATGCAGCATCGATCCGATACTGCATCTGTCCCCCCCCCACCAGCACCAAGGGTGAGAACTGAGCAATCAAACACCGCTGATCACTCAGTTCTCCCTGCTGCTCTGCTGGGGAGGGGGGCAGAGCAGATAGTAGTGATTGACAGTCACAGCTCTCTGCTCTGCCATCCCTGCCCTCCAGCAGGCTGTGGAAGGGGTGGGAGTGTCTGAGTCAGGCTCTCAGCGGATATCTGAGAGGCTGAGTTAGCTGTCTGTCCAGGGATCCAGGTGGATCCCGAGTTTGCAGTCGGGATCTTTTCCCAGCCTCAACCGGGTGAGTGACTTTAGCCCACTCTTGGCTGAAAACAGGTTACAGGAGTGCAGATCGAACAGCACAGGAGAAGTACAGCCAAACAAGCTTTGGCTGTATTTTTCCTTTAAGGGAAATTAACCTCTTGCCGTCCGCCTGCTGTTTATAAACGGCAGGGCGGTGGCACTCCAGGGGCAGGTTGCCATTCATAAACGGCACCCGCCTTTTCTAGCTGTGCGCGCTCCTTGGGGAGTGCGCAGCACCGCGAACCGGTGCCTGCTGTGTCCTCCTGACACAGTGAAACACCAATCGTCGGACGGGACCTCTATACGAGGTCCTGGATCATGTGATAACTGATAGGCCAATCAGTGATCACATGCAAAGTAGTAAGCAAGATGTCACATTGCTTACTACGTGTGAAATCTGTGAATGATCACAGAGGTCACATGGTACAAGGCTATTCAAAACAGCCTTGTACCATGTGACAAGCTGTGACCAATCACAGCTCACTCAGTATTTCTCAATGGCTGCAAGAATGCAGACAGAGAGAAAGAGAAATGATTGCTTTTACATCCTATATGGGTGTAAAAGCAATCACTGTAAGAAAAAAAAAAAAAAAAAAAAAATCTTCATCACCCCCACAAGTAGTACAGTGTCACCATGGTGACACTGTACTGCTAGGGTGACAGTATGTAAAAAAAAAACAAAAAACATAAATAATAATATAAAAAAATAAAATAAAAATATAAAACAAATGTTTAAAAATTATAATTTTTTGGTTATAAACTAATTTGGCTTTTTTTTTTTTTTACTAAAAATATAACGGAATAAATTTTGGTAAAGACTTATGATGAAAGATTATTTATTTGTAAAATTTTATAAGAAAAACACTTTTTAAAAAAATTTTTGGACATTTTCATTTACATAGCAAAAAAAATAAAAATCCCAGTGGTGAATAAATACCACCAAAATAAAGCTTTATCTGTCTCAAAAAATGGTAAAAAATTCATATGGGTACAGTGTTGCATGACCACGCAATTGTCATTCAAAGTGTGATAGTGCTGAAAGCTGAAAATTGCCCTGGGCAGGAAGGGGGTAAAAGTGTCCGGACAGGAAGTGGTTAAGCTGCACGTGCACCTTCTATACGTTTTGATCTGCTGATCTCCGGAAATATGGTTCCTTCTAGCACTATGATAGGAAGCATGAAGCAGTCACCTACAGTACGCTTCCAACAAGTACATGAATAGCTCACCCTCCCTGATGCATGCTGTGACACCTAGAGAGGAAGTCACCTTGTCAGAGAGCACAACAGCCATCCTCACGTTTATTGCAGAGCCAGCTGTGCATTACAATGCATCTTAAGGATCATAAATAGGGTCACTTCACCAACATAGTAATACCCCAAAATATTAGTTCCTGAAATGAAAGTTGTGGGTTGGGACAGTGGATGCCTTCTGCCTTTTACCTGCAGATGGTGCACATGATGGTTTATCTGTCTATGAAGGTTTAGCAGACCTGGGGAGGCAAGTGTTTAGGCTGCCTATGATATATTGGGTCAGTAGCCTGTTGCCCCCTATGTCAGGGCAGAGATGAGCCCTACAGCTTATGGTCACACTGCATGTTCAGCATGAGACTACTTTGATCATAAAAACACTTTGCTTGTTTCCCAAGGCCGGTTCATCATTTTAGCCTGCAGGTGGTATTGGATTATCTGAATATCAGATTAGTAGAAATAATCAATGCAACTTTGTTACAAAAGGCCGATTCATTGATCACCTAGTACATATTTGAATATGATCTTTTTTGCATTGGACTTCCTGTTGGGTGTCATTGCGCAGCTGTGTTTATCATTGCATGTATATGTGTGCGAGGAGGGCACCATGTTTGCTGTAATGTGATGGTTTTCCCCTCTTCCTCCTCACTATGCTCTCACTGACAGCTGAGGGAGCTCTTGCAGCCTACTATGGTAAGTGTGCACCATGTAGAAAGTAACTGATTGTAGATTTCTCTGCCTTCTGTGTTTTATGCTGATAAGGGGTAACCTATGTAATGATATTGCAGTTGTGGGTGAACACTGATGAGTGGGATCGCACACTGTTGTGTATCTCAAAGATCTCTCTGTTAAATATCACGCTTCTGTCCGTGGATGCAGCCATTTGAAGAATTCAGTTCATTTTATTCTCTTTAATGTAATATAAAATCATCAGACTATCCTGATCCAATAAATGAATGTGTTACATGACTTGCCTGTGCTGTTGAAAACGCAGCTTCTTCCAATGCTTGTCATGTGACCAGTGCCAGAGTAGAGTATGGTCATGTGATCTCTTCTTGAGGAGCTCAGGGGCTGTCATTTAGGCAAGGTCAGCCAATTAGCAGCACTGTTTGAACCCTGTTCTTCCCTTTCAGCTGAAATTAGAGGACCAATGCTCTAGCATGTGGTTACGTGACCAACACCGGACAGAGCCCAGAGCACTGTATCTGCAAGAAAGATCATTTTATCATTGGCTATTCTGGTATCATTGGTATGGTCATGTGATCTCTGCTGGAGGAGCTTAGAGGTCTGTCATTCAGGCAAAGCTAGCCAATCCGCTATTACCTTTTGGTTCACGTACCCCTCCCTTTAGATTGTAAACTTCCTGAGCAGTGCCCCCCTAATCCTTCTATATTGACCTGTATTGTACTTGTACTGTCCCGCTTTACATTTTAAAGAGCTGCACAAACTGTTAGCACTATGTTAATCCTATATAACAGCAAATTGCAGCCAGGGGTCAGTTATGGCTCATTGCTTGCTTTTATCCGGTCCTTGGGGCAATATTCCATCCAATGACCCCAACAATTGGGCTTGTATCTTCCCAATGGCACCAACAACTGGGCACAATTCTTCCCACTGGCACCAACGATGGAGCACTATTCTTCCCATTGACATCAACAATTGTGCATATGTCCTCCCACTGACACCAGTGAAGGGGCACAATTTCTCCTAATGACATCAGTGTTGGGGCAGTGTTTTTACCACTGACACCAGGACACTTTCTACTCCTACTTGTCTCAGTCCAGCCCCCCCAAAGTCTGAAGGACAGTAAACTGGCCCTTTGTTAAGAAAGTTTGGGAGACCCCTGCTGTATAATAATTATCAGCAGCCCTGGTTGAACCCTGTTCCTCCCATTCAGCTGAAATCAGAGGACAGATGCTTCTACATGAGGTCACATGACCAACACAAGAGAGAACCAGAGAACTGTATCTGCAGGAAAAGAGCCTTGTATCATTGGTTCTTTTGGTGTAATTGGTACGATCATGTGATCTCTGCTTGGGGAGCTCAGGGGTCTGTCATTCAGCCAATCAGCCAGCCTGTTCCTGCCATTCAGCTGAAATCACAGGGCTGATGCTTCGGCATGTGGACATGTGACCAACGCAGGTCAGAACACCATGTCTGCAAAAAAAAAAAAGTAATTTTTATTGTTGGATCTTTTACCATTTATGTATTTGAAGGAGATGTGACATCAGGACTGAAGGGGGTGGTGATCTTATTGTAGATCCACTTTATTCTATATATAAATGATTGGAAAATCCAGCAGATAGAATCCTATGTTCCTTGTGGCTGTAGACACCTGTACTCTGGACTCACAAGGAGTTCACCCACCGGGGACCTACACCCTGAAAGTAAGCAAAGGCAGCAACATGTTGCCAGGTTCTGTGTTCATGAGAGATCATTGTCCTTCTGCAACCGAACTCAGCTTGGATATTCACTTTCTAAAATCTGTGTATCTTATTAGTTTGGAAGGAATATGACCATCTGCAGTCTTGCTGTAGTCCGTGTGTGGCTTGATTCCTCAGCCTGTATGATGAGCATCTTACGGTTTTAGTAGGACTCTACATGGGAGTAATACACTATCTGGCATATTCATTCATAAACCTGCCTGTTTTGTAGAATGTGTTACCAACGGGCAGCTGAGTGTTTCAACTTGTCATTCTCCTATGCAGGTGTAGCCGCTAGCTCCTTCTTCATAAGTGGAAGGTACGCCATTGACCCAGAGCTGCGAGGAGCAGATTATGAAAGGATAACACAAAACCTGGATGTGAACTTCTGGAAGTCTTTTTGGAACATCACAGAGATGGAATTGCTTACGGTGAGTAAAAATCAAAGTGTAAAATAGTACTTTCCCATTATACCCATCGGTCTCCATTGAAAAAAAAATATATATATATATGTGTGCTACAGCACTCTGTAATAAGTGCTTCTGCATTAACATTTTTCATTTGACTCATCTGCAAAGTCTCACGAATACCTCTTGATCCTGCCAATGATGTCCACCTAATGCAGCTTCCTGTGACAATGCTGCACTGATCATGAGTTCAGAGCAGAGTTGCCACTTTTATGTAGGCTGTGCCTGCTTGCACTATAGTTTGATGAAAGAATATTGCCAGGAGCGGGGCTATCAGAATTGTCACTGTTAATTCACAAGTCTGTAGCTTGTCAGTTATCGCCTGCCCCACACCTAGTCCCGCCTACAGATATCTGGATTGACAGCTCTGCCTATGTTTCGAAAACCCTCCCACTGTGAGCTGCCATGTCTAGGAGGTGGAGAATGTGAGACACAAATGAAAGGATTTTTAGCTCGGTCTAGGAAGGTACATTTTTTTTAGTTTACTTTTTAAATGGGCCAGGATGTGGGCTAGCTGTGGGCCAAAGAAGGATTAGAAGTCCATTTTGTGTATTTCAGAGCTCTGATAAGACAAATGTAGATTTCAGAAGCTCTGTAAGTGGGTAAATTCCTCATTTTCTGCAGTAAGGTGAAAAATCTTCTGTGCCCAAGATCTCTTTCCCCTCACCCCCCCCCCCCCCATCCCTCTCTCCCCCCCCCCCCCCCGTCACCACCCCCCCCCCCCCCCCCCCCGCCCCTCCCCCTCCCCCCCGATCCCTCTCTCCCCCCCCCTATCCCCCCCCCCCCCCCCCCCCCATCCCTACTCCAAGCCCTCTCTAACTCCAGTGTTGTGCTCAAAAGCAGCATGTCACTGTCTGCTCTCTCTCCTCACTGGGCAGATTGATAGCAGTAGGAGCCATTGCTCCTGCTGCTGTCAGTCAGCTTCTATGATGAGGAAGTAGTCGGAGGCGAGAACCAATGTCTTTGTTTATGGACGCAAGCAGTAAGGCTTCAAAAGTGAGCCCACATGAGTGCCCCCATTGGAAACAGCTTCTTATGGGGGCACTCACTGAAGAGGGGGAGCCAGGAGCGCCGACGGAGGGACCGGAGAAGAGGGCAATCGAGGCTGCTCTGTGAAAAAACCATTGCACATAGCTGGTAAGTGTGTGACGTGTTTGTTATAAAAAAAAAAAATACAGATTTAGAATTACTTCCATGTATTTACAGTTTCAGCTGATTTTGTTTTGTTAGCTGTTATTTTAGTTTTTAGTTGTTATGCTGGTTTTCATCAATTTTTTTTCCTTTTTCATTGCAGTCTTTGGTTGGAATAGCCACAACAGTCCGCATCAACAAGACCCTTTCTGTGCCTCCCGAACTGCTTGAGATGCCACTCTCCTCTGATCCTCAGCTCACCGTCCCCATCAGCCCTCCTGTAGCTCATTCTGGACCAGGTCCTGTTAATATGCGTCTCATCTCATACCAGCTGCGTGAAGGCCAGGTAAGTGACCGGTCATCGTCTTATCACATCTGTTACTTGTAGTTGCTGATGTTAAAGCCAAACTCTATCTTCTGCAAAAAGTAAACATTTAAACTCAGGGTGCTAAATACATTTTGCAAAAAAAAACCCAACTCAGCTTGTTGAAAATAATAAAATTGCAAAGTCTTCCATACACACACTGTGACTCATCAGGGAGTGTCAGACTGCTGCTGAGACACCGTTGCTTCCACACAGAGAGCGCCGGTCCCCTCTAAGCCACAAAAAGGTCTTTGCAAACTTACTATTTTCAATATTGATTTTAAAGCAGAGTTCCACCTGAAAAAAAAAATATAAAAGTCAGCAGCTACAAAAACTGTAGCTACTGACTCTTAAAATACATACAATTACCTGTCCCTCGTCCAGCGGTGTCCTCACCACGGCTGGTTTCACTGGCCATCTTCTGTCCTAGTCACCGGCATCTTCAGTGTGGGCACCTGGCTGTGACAGCTTGCGGCTTCACAGCTGGGTGCCCACTGCACATGCGCAAGAAGTTCTGCGATTTGTGAATGGCCCCGTAGTCTTCTGGGACCTGTCATGTGTCTCAGAAGACTACGGGGAGGGAGGGAGAGGAGAGGAAAACTTCTGCTCCGACTGCCTAGGTGATCACAGCGGACGTGGGAGCGGGTACCTGTCAAATTCGGGTACCCCCCCCCCCCCTGCTCCCCAAAGGTGCAGTTTTTAATGGGGGGGAGCGGGGGACAAAGACTTAAAGCGGGACTTCCCCTTTTGGGTGGAGCTTTAACAGTTTAGCTGTAAAAGGTATAGTTGATCCATAAGATTTTTATGGAGCCCTGACAGCATCCAAGATGTGTGCTCCTTTGTGATGGATTGATAGTCAGATATTTAACCATTTGCTCATATGTGATGTGATAGGCTAAATGGTGTACAATAAGTCTAACAGACATATTCACCCTACAGATTTGGGAAGGAGGCACTTTGGTGGACACAACATACTTCAGATCCAGGGGCGGACTGACCATTTGGAAATTCGGGCACTGCCCGACGGGCCCGGGGTCAGTAGGGGGGCCCCATGAGATGCCCCTGGTACCTTTTTCATTGGCTTTTTTGAGTTTGGGCAAGGACACAGGGGCCCCATGATCCCCTATTGCCCGTGGGCCCCATGAGTTGTCAGTCCGCCCCTGTTCAGATCTGTCTGTGCAGAAGGGGTGTTGATAGTTTTCCCTTTTTAAAAGAATAGGAAAATCTTAAAGCACCTTATCTATACTGAAAGAGTCTGCCAGCATCACTGGCTTGCTGCTCTTCCATGTGCTGTGATTTTATTTCATATATAGAATTTCCGGTTCACCTTGAATCTGTTGACTGTGTGTCAGATATTGTGATTAGCTTCTTTGCTGAAGGACTGCTGAGATGCAATCAGAGAGAGAATTTGCAGAAAGCCAATGCTGATTTGCACTGAGAAAGAGGAGTAAAGCACAATCTCTAGGCAGTACTTTCAGCCAGGAAGCGAAGCTTGCACATGTAATGAACAAATATGGCTGTTCACATATACAGTGGGGATCGAAAGTTTGGGCACCCCAGCTAAAAATTAGTATTAATGTGCATAAAGAAGCCAAGGAAAGATGGAAAAATCTCCAAAAGGCATCAAATTACAGATTAGACATTCTTATAATATGTCAACAAAAGTTAGATTTTATTTCCATCATTTACACTTTCAAAATAACAGAAAACAAAAAAATGGCGTCTGTAAAAGTTTGGGCACCCTGCAGAATTTATAGCATGCACTGCCCCCTTTGCAAAGCTGAGACCTGCCAGTGTCATGGATTGTTCTCAATCATCGTCTGGGAAGACCAGGTGATGTCAATCTCAAAGGTTTTAAATGCCCAGACTCATCTGACCTTGCCCCAACAATCAGCACCATGGGTTCTTCTAAGCAGTTGTCTAGAAAACTGAAACTGAAAATAGTTGACGCTCACAAAGCTGGAGAAGGCTATAAGAAGATAGCAAAGTGTTTTCAGATGTCAATATCCTCTATTCGGAATGTAATTAAGAAATGGCAGTCATCAGGACAGTGGAAGTTAAAGCAAGATCTGGAAGACCAAGAAAAATATCAGACAGAACAGCTCGCAGGATTGTGAGAAAAACAATTCAAAACCCACGTTTGACTGCACGATCCCTCCAGAAAGATCTGGCAGACACTGGAGTTGTGGTACACTATTCCACTATAAAGAGATACTTGTACAAATATGGTCTTCATGGAAGAGTCATCAGAAGAAAACCTCTTCTACGTCCTCACCACAAAAATCATCGTTTGAACTTTGCAAATGAACATATAGACAAGCCTAATGCATTTTGGAAACAAGTTCTGTGGACCGATGAGGTTAAAATTGAACTTTTTGGCCGGAATGAGCAAAGGTCCGTTTGGAGAAGAAGGGGCACAGAATTGAATGAAAAGAACCTCTGTCCAACTGTTAAGCATGCGGTTGGATCAATCATGCTTTGGGGTTGTGTTGCAGCCAGTGGCGCAGGGAACATCTCACGAGTAGAAGGAAAAATGGATTCAATAAAATTTCAGCAAATTTTGGATGGTAACTTGATGCCATCTGTGAAAAAGCTGAAGTTAAAGAGAGGATGGCTTCTACAAATGGATAATGATCCTAAAACACACCTCGAAATCCACGGGGGGTTACATCAAGAGGCGTAAACTGAAGGTTTTGCCATGGCCTTCACAATCTCCTGACCTCAACATAATTGAAAATCTATGGATAGACCTTAAAAGAGCAGTGCGTGACAGACAGCCCAGAAATCTCAAAGAACTGGAAGACTTTTGTAAGGAAGAATGGGCAAAGATACCTCAAACAAGAATTGAAAGACTCTTGGCTGGCTACAAAAAGCGTTTACAAGCTGTGATACTTGCCAAAGGGGGCAGTACAAGATATTAACTCTGCAGGGTGCCCAAACTTTTGCAGACGCCATTTTTTTGTTTTCTGTTATTTTGAAAGTGTAAATGATGGAAATAAAATCTAACTTTTGTTGACATATTATAAGAATTTCTAATCTGTAATTTGATGCCTTTGGAGATTTTTTCCATCTTTCCTTGGCTTCTTTATGCACATTAATACAAATTTTTAGCTGGGGTGCCCAAACTTTCGATCCCCACTGTAAGTACAAAGGTACATGGCTTTAATGCATATCAACACACAAAATGAAGTAATCTTCTCACATTTATATGCATTATGAAAAACACATAACCCTTGCAGAGTCTATTTTCCATGCTGGTGATTCTGTAGCAGGCCTACCCATCCTATAGATGCTTGATATTAACTCCATCTTCTATAACACTCTGCTTCTAAGTCGGCAAACGTGCAGGTCAGGATTTTAAGTGTTCCTTACAGCTGAAAACAGAAGAAAAGGATTAAACGTAACCCAAATCTATACCATCATCTGAATTGTGACAATACTTTTAACACGCTTCTCTTTATTTCAGGAGAGCGAGGAACTAAACACCTTCACAAAACCTGAAGGTCCTCTGAGCCTTGACCTTCATCTCCGATCTCGCTCAGCCCCTCTCTCTCCAGACCTGATCATCCATTTCCACGGTGGGGGGTTTGTAGCCCAGACCTCAAAGTCGCATGAGCCTTACCTCAAGATCTGGGCTCAGGAGCTCGAGGCGCCCATCCTGTCTGTGGACTACTCTCTTGCCCCAGAGGCTCCTTTTCCAAGGGCTCTTGAAGAATGTTTCTATGCCTATTGCTGGGCTTTGAAACACTGTCAGTTGCTGGGTCAGTACACACTGCATTTGACTTATATATTTTTCTGATTTCAGTAAAACATCTCAATTTTTATTGTTGCTTTGAATCAAGTGGAAAAGGGTTGGAACCTCTTTCTGGTTTTTATTAATGTCTTTGCCCCCTTGGGAAAAGGGGTAGGGGATTCCCTCACTTCCTGTCCCAGTAGCCTGTCCTCAGTCTATCCAAAACTTAGAAAAAAAAAGAGCAGCTGACCCACTGCATGGTGAAATAAAATCTTGCCTGGAGTTCTGCTTTAAGTATAATTTTTTTTTTTAAGGATGAGCACAAAGCTCATACTCGCCTGACCCACCGATCCTCTGGAAAATTGCCCTCCCCCATAGTCCAGCAGTGGACTGTTCCTGTCTATGGAGCGTACTTTGAGTATGCTGACATCAGGAACAGTTCATTTACTATACCACTGGACTGCAGGGGGGCAGTAGCCAAAGGGGATTTGTCTTTTGCAGGTAGGATCGGTGGGTCAGGTAAGTATATCTCAGCTGTCCTCTCTCCCCTAGAGCAAATCGAGCAGTTAACCCCTGCAGTGCGGGCACAGCCCCACTGCATTGGTTAAGAAAAAAATTTGCCTGGTGTTCTGCTTTAAATAAAAATTATAATGATTCATGGTCAAATATATTTTTAAACGTTTTTGATCTCTATATATTTTATATTTTATTTACAACATTTTCTACATGTTAAAGGGTTTCCAGAGCATTATGGTTTATTTATATTGACAGAACTGTAGTTGAAGATTACTTTGTAACTTCCATTGTCTCAGCCAGGCCTTAAACTTTACTTCTTTCTGAGAAGTTTCCAAGGTGTTAAATCTATTATAAGACTTCAATTGGCAAGACCTTTAAAGCTCATGTACAATTATTTCTATACATTTGCTAGTTATGTATAAAATGACATTTGTGTGTTTTTGTATTTTCAGGCTCCACAGGTGAAAGGATCTGTCTGGCTGGTGACAGTGCTGGTGGTAACCTTTGTATCACCGTGGCACTGCGTGCTGCTTCTGTTGGGGTTAGATTGCCAGATGGAATAATGGTTGCCTATCCAGCCACGTTATTACAGGCCACAGCATCCCCATCCCGCCTCCTGACGCTGATGGACCCTCTGCTGCCACTCAGTGTACTGTCAAAGTGTCTTAGCGCTTATGCAGGTACAGATTTTTTTTCTCTGGATATTGCAGAGATCAGCAATAGTGCCCAAAGTGCACTAATTCATAGTAACTGATCTGATTTTACCCTAAGATTTGTCCTAAGGTGGTCAGTACAATAAAGGACAATTAACTATTGAACTAAGCCCTAATTGTAAATCATCATCTTTGGCAAATAACAAATCTATACCTCAACGAGGGTGCGTTTCCCTACGCACCATCTGGGCAATTGGTGAATCTAAAATATATAACCTTTATTCAAATATATAAAAAGTGTATGCTCAGTTGTAATTAATGCCTATTGGAGTGGAATGTACTGCACACAACAATATGACTGGATACCATTGCAATTACTTACCTTACATCCAAATGGTTAATAACACCAGACCAAATCAAATACCATACCGTTTTAGATGAAGTGACGGCATAAAAAGAGACACTGTAGTTTGATCATCAGCCTGTCAGCTTGAATATATAATCTCTGTTAAGGAAACAGAGTTACCCCATGGACAAAACTAATTAGATAGTATAATCTATCTTGCTACAGATATGTAATACAGGTACACTATCCACGAGCTTAAATGTCAGCCTCTCATGGACAAGCCCCATACATCACCATATCCAGAAAAAATACCTCACTGTCTTGAGGAATGCAAATGATGCACTGCAAAATGCAGTACAGACCTCTCCAAAAAAAATTGGGGAGAGGAGTGAATACCATGTGCATTCAAAAAGTGCTCCCAAAGAAAAAAGGAAACTCTACATGTTTCACTCCAGAAAACAGAGCTTTGTCAGGATTATAAAGAATTAAAATAGGTCACATAGTGGCTGAAAGTTGCGCTTAGCTGCACATGGTGGCAAAATGGCCGTTTTCTGGTGCGAAACATGTAGAGTTTCTTTTTTCTTTGGGTCTTTCTTTGGAAGCACTTTTTAAATGCACATGATATTCACTCCTCCCCCCCCCCCCCCCCCTTTTTTTTTTTTTGAGAGGTTTGTACTGCGTTTTACAGTGCATCATTTGCATTCCTCAAGACAGTGAGGTATTTTTTCTGGATATGGTGATGTATGGGGCTTGTCCATGAGAGGCTGACATTTAAGCTCGTGGATGAGTGTACCCATATTACATATCTGTAGCAAGATAGATTATACTATCTAATTAGTTTTGTCCATGGGGTAACTCCATTTCCTTAATAGAGATTATATATTCAAGTTGATAGGTTTATGATCAAACTACAGTGTCTCTTTTTATGCCGTCACTTCATCTAAAACCGAATGGTATTTGATTTGGTCTGATGTTATTAACCATTTGGATGTAAGGTAAATAATTGCAATGGCATCCAGTCATATTGTTGTGCGCAGTACATTCCACTCCAATAGGCACTAATTACAGCTGAGCATACATTTTTTATATATTTGAATAATGGTTATATATTTTAGATTCATCAATTGGCCAGATGGTGTGTAGGGAAACGCACCCTCGTCCAATGTAGATTTTTTTTCTGATTGGTTACTATGGGCTAATTGACATTGTGCTTTAATTTTTTTTTTTTTTTTTTTTTTGAAGGGGAGGCATAAAAAGAGACACTGTAGTTTGCTATAAATTTGAGGAGGTATTTATCTCTACCTTTTTTCCACTCTTTTGCTTTCATACAGGTACAGAACGAGTCTCTGTGGATGATCGAGTAGTTGAAAAGCACAGCTCACTGAGTCAAGTGAAACGAGGGACTGCATTATTTCTCAGAGATATCCGACAAGGAGCGGCATCCTGGCTGAGTAATCTAATGGAAGGGAGCAAGGACAGGGCCAATACAGGTCAGACTTTCAGCGTAGAGGGTTGGTGGGTACCACAAGGTGCCTGTTAGTAGTCTATTGTGTAATTTGTTATAAGTGACTCAGTCCTCCAGACTGCATCTACAACTGAAATATTACATTTAGGTGGACTGACACTCTAAATTCCCATTATCACAACTGTCTCAAACTGAAAATGTAGGAGGCCACACTGCCTGCTGGAATAACAAGGCAGGGGAGAAGTACTTAAAGCTGAATGCCAGGCTAGGCCTAACTAATTTTAAAAGTGTTCCCTCCTAACACCTACACTAACTAACCTGTGTAAAAAACATGTATATACTTACCTATTTTCAGGCCGGGCTGGTCTGGTCTCATGATCAAGCTCCCGTGTTAGTCAGCAGCAGCTACAGGGGAGAGAAGGGTGTGCCGACAACAGATAAGCCATAGGAGCCTATGGGTAACATAACTACTCCCAAACACTCCAGCTGCTGTCAAGCGCTCTCTCTCTCCGCTCTCTTGCAGCCATCACTGCCTGAGATCACGTGTTCGGAGTGACCTGAAAATAGGAAAGTATATATCAAAGTATATATCTTTCTTACACAGGTTAATCAGCATATGGGTTGGGCGGAGAGGGGGTTAGCCTGGAATACCATTTTAAGATTTATTTGACCTGCATTTAATCTTCAGTCCCTCCAAATCTTTCATAAATAGCTTGGAGCTTACTGTTTATGTAATTAGGATCCTAAAACTCGTTCTAATTGTAGTTTACAATTTTTGTTGCAGACACAGTGAGAAAGAGTGTATCAGAGGCAGCATTGGCGGAGAGCCTGCTCTTAACCGCAAGGTGTCTTTAAAGAGCAAAACCTGCCAGGATCTGAACCGCCATCAGTACATCGAACAAAACAGTTTTGCGGTTGGAATTCCAAACCAGAACAATGGACAGAGCGGAGCCCTGAACAAACACGCAAACAGAGGAGCACAGTCCAATAACTCCTCTGCAAACGGCCAGCATTCACCATCTTCCCTGTCCGTCCAGTCAGAAAGCAGTGATGTGCTGTCTCCCAGCAGCTCACAGAGACCTGTCAATTTCTTCTTGACAGGGAGCGAGAGTGAGGGTGACACTTCTTTTGACAGAGAACCTTCTACACACTCTAAAGAGAACATTCCCCCTGCACACTCCAGTGAGGACGAATCATCCCCACAGTCCCCCTCCACTTCTCTTCTGGGCTTTCCAGATGGATTTCAGCCTCTGCGCTCTCAAAGTGGTGTGGCTCACATGACCTTACAGACTTCTGCTATTGTGCATAACCCGTACATGTCCCCGCTGCTGGCTCCTGACAGTATGCTGCAAGGACTTCCTCCCATTCACATTGTGGTGAGTACAAGGTGGTGGTGGAAACCGGCTTAGCCAAACTGGCAGCACATAGCAGTGTCATTGTGCAAACTGAAGATATGCTGATAGGATTTCAGCTTATTGCAGAAAGATTAGGAAAAAAATATATAAGGTTCTGTGGCCTACTGGACTTACTTCATGTTTAATTCAGTAATGTTGTGATGTATTTTACTTACAGACAGAATTAGGCTGGCTATTTACGATGTTTTTAAACAGATTTCGACATCCACACAAATGAGATGAATGGAGGAATTCCCCCTCCTTCCCTGCCGGGACGGTGTATTATGACAACAGGACCCGTCCCTGTAAAAAATACACTGATCAGAGGCTGCAGCCGCTGATCTACAAAGGCTTTCCAGCTTGTTCCTGCAACCAAAGTCGATTGTATGATTGACTTCTGTCCAGCAGGGACAGCAACACACTGATAAATCTTGTTTAGTGCATACCCAGATTAAAGCGGAGCTCCGGTCTCTGGTGAAAAAATTAAAAGTCGGCAGCTAAAAAAACTGTAGCTGCTGACTTTTAAAAAAACAGACATTTGACTATCCTAGGATCCAGCGGTGTGATCGCCACAGCCGGGTTCACTGGCCGTCCTGTGCCCCGGCACCGGCATTCTTTTTCTGGATGTAACAGCTCTCGGCTTCACAGCCAGGTGCCCAATGCTCGTGCGCAAATGGCGCTGCGCATTGTGAATGGTCCCTCAGTCCTCTGGGACCTGTCATGTGTCCCAGAAGACTGTGGGCAGGGGGGTTGGGGGAGGGGGGATTGAGGAGAACTTCCACCGCTTCCAGTCGCTTAGGCGATTGCAGCAGGATTGGGAACGTGTACCTGTCAAAATTGGGTATCCACTTCCCCCCTCCCCAAAGGTCCCAAACCTTAACAGGGAGTGGGGCACAAGAACTTAAAGCAGGCCTTCCTTTTTTGGGTGGAGCTCCACTTTAGGTCAGAGCAGGACCCTGGGCAAGGTCACAATTTTGTCCTTCCCATCCCTTCAATTGAGATTGATGGGGATTACAGTGGCCAATGAAAATCCACCTATTTACGGTGTCTGTCCTGGTATGGCACCAGCTGCCTACAAGTATATCTTACCTTGTACAACTGACAGGAAATAACATAACTTTGAGCAATTGCACTATTCCCCTTTTTACTGTAGGAAAGTGACAGTTGTCAGCCTTCTGGACATCCACCAGGGCCCAGGCTGCATTGTGGATGATCTGGCTCTGATTGTACCTGATGTGCACTCTATTGTGCTAACCTTTTGTGATCCCTTAAAGAGGACCAGTCACATTTGGGCTTATTCAATTGGACTTAATTATTTTATAATATTATAAGCATGCAAGCTTACCTACTATATACACTTTTGATAATAAGTCTCTAATTTAGCAATGCTTAGTTTTGTCTGAGGATGATTGAGTCAGAACTTGGAGGTCTGACTGTTCTTGCCATGTCAACTGGCCAGAGTCCAATTTAAAGTAGTTGTAAAGGCTGAAGGTTTTTTTACCTTCATGCATTCTATGCATGGAGGTGAAAACCATCTGTGTACAGCAGCTTCCCCAACCCACCTTATACATACCTGAGCCCCCTTGCAATCCAGCAATGTGCATGAGAACTTTGTCTCTCCTGGGTCTCTATCTCCTCGTTGGCCTATGGCTCCCAACTACTGTCAATCACAGCCAGTGATCCAATGAGGAGAGAGCGGGGGGGAGGGGCTGTGCTGCTCTCTGTGTGTGAATGGACACACAGAGCAGCGGCTCAAGAGCCAGCCTTCTCGGGTGCCCCCATAGCAAGCAGCTTGCTATGGGGGCACTAAGTAGGAGGGAGGGGCCTGCAGCACTGGCAGGGGACCTAAAGATAGGAGGATTGAGGCTGCTCTGTGTAAAACCATTGCCATTGTTTAACAACAACAAAAAAACTTTTAATATCACTTTAAAAATCATGTTGGATTACACGCCTTGAGGTCCATTAATTCATGTCATTGTGTACAGAGCTGTCACATGTACAAAAATGTTGGGGTTAAGTGTTGACATTTATAGATATAGGAGGATCAATGCTAGTGAAACTAAGAAAAGCAGACGTTCAGTACATTGTAGAGACTTGGTATGACAGCTGCTGGTAACTGATGCCATCTATTTGTCATTTAGATAAATATATTGTAATTTGGAGAGCCAGAGATGACCAGCCATTGAAAATGATAGTCTTTATTGGACCTTCAAAACAAGCTAATAAAAGGCAGCCTTCTTCAGCAAAAATAAAGCAAACAGTCCATAAACCTGGTATAGTTAATACAACATAACAGCTCACCACCAATATATCAGTCCCACACTTAGGTTTTAAAGTACCTGTCAGCTTCAGGGTATAGGAAAAACCGCAGGAGCGCAGTAAACCGGAGTCTTAGCTTCCAGATAGTCTACACTTTTTCCACTCCACACTACCCCATAGTACTGATTCCTTCCTGCTGCTTTTCTTGCCTCCCTTGCAGGTGGGTTAACCTTTTCAGGACCTAAGTCCCTGTGAGAAGGGTTTGGAGGCTCCTTCCCACCCAAGTCTCTCTGAGCCTCCGAATTCCGGGTCCCAAATGAGGATTTACCAATCCTGAGAGTCCTGAAAGTACCCCGGAACCCCTCATGAGGTGAAAACCCCTGAGCGCTAAAATTGTTCCTTAAACTCTCCCTTAAAGGGACCACAACCCAAATAGTGGGGAAATATATCCCCCATACAGGACCGAACCCTAGTGCCCTGTGCAATATATATGTACAGTTTCTTTAGTATTGTACTACTTGTCTAATGCCCGTTTTCATGGCAGTTTCTTGTTCATGCAGGCCTGTGCGCTGGACCCGATGTTGGATGACTCCGTGATGTTTGCTAAGAGACTCCGTTCTCTCAATCGGCCAGTCACCCTGCAGGTAGTAGAAGATCTCCCTCACGGATTCCTCAGCTTATCACAGCTGTCACCAGAGACACGAACCGCCACAGCTGTGTGCGTCCAGCGCATCCGGCAAGTCCTGAGAGAAGAGCCTCCTGCCCCACCTCCTGCTGCTCCCCGCAAACACCGCAAACTGGAGAGGACGCTGGGGGGAAGAGCGCAGTGACCGATCGAGAGATTGGAGCCTGAAACCCAAAATAACTGTCTCCATAACATGCAATAATCATCTACATTTAACACCACTGGTCACTCTGATTTTGCTGCTTCCATTGTTCTGAATCACAGATTTCACCAGCAGTCTTCACTGTGGTCACTGAGAAGTATGGTGCACATGCTGAGAATGGGATTTGGTGAAGAACCTCTTACACACATAAGGTGCTTCTGAGTAAATCTCTGGGACACCCCAGTTGACAGAGAGCTGCTCTAAATCTTGGATTCTGACTTTTGTTTAGCATCTACTCTGGGGTCCTGTGGGCCACCAACATATTTCTCATGGACACGAGTGAGGTGGCTCATACAGCGGAAAAAAAAACACATGCTTCTGGACACTCGGAAGGCACAGGTACAGTGTAGAGCTTGCTGCAAGCAGCCTATCAAAATCAACGACAGACTGTGGTGGCTGGACACTGTTCCAAGTAGGGCCTAATGCAAACAGACACATGCCATGAGCACATATGGCCCTAAATGCAAATATCACTTGGAACATGCCAGCTGTCACGTATTACAGCCTGTCGTTGATTTTGACGCTTTAACCCAGGTGTCCAGAAATGCCTGTATGAACCAACTCGCTTGTGTACATGAGCCCCAACACAATATGAGAGGAAAAATAAAGAAAGGAAGGAAAATCTGACTCGAGATTGTGAGCACTGCAGACCAACTCTGTCCCTTCTTCCTTCAACATTTCAATAAATCCACCCACTATGGTGTTGTCGTTGGCACATTTATACATGACCTTTGCCTAAGTTCCACTGTCCCTATGAAAACCACTCTTCCACGCTGTGGCTTCCTCCAGTGGCCTGTTGATGTGTCATATGGTTCACATTACAAGGAGGCAGCCTCCATTGCTTGAATATTGGTGCACATTACAAAATAGCCACCTGAAGGTTTGACCGCAGGGTTTTAGCGGTAGTTTCTTGATTTTGCTTGTGCACATTTATTGTATGTAACGTGTATATATCTTTTCAGCTCTCATTTTCCATCTGTATTTATCATTTTACATTCCCTCTCTGTATTTATATATATATGTGTGTTTAGGGTCTTGTACTCCACAAGTTTATACTTTTATCAAACGAAAAAGTAAATTTTTTTATTTATAAGAGCTATACGTTTTATGCAATTAATTTACTTTTTTTTTTTTTTTTTTTGAACATGCTAAGACCAGGTGTTTTTAGCTGGGCTCTTTAGGAAAAACTGTCTTGTGACTTGGGTAGGGAATATAAAAAGCCTTCCCTTCAGTCTAGCACAGTTACAGGATGTTCTCCTATACTGAAATAGCTTACTCTGGTTTCACTGCACACTGTGATCTTCTCGCAGTGTGTATTAGAAGCTGAAACAAGTTAGATGGAGTCTGCCTCATTTCATGGCTGGAGGGTGCCCAGCGTCAGATAATAGTGCTTTCCTACCCAGCCTGACTGTCCCTGGCCCGTCCCTTTCATTCATTGAATTTGATTTCTTTCAATCGTGGAGGCTCAGCATCACCTGTGAGTGTTACCTATGGTGGTCTGCCTAGGAACACCCACCTTTCAAACCTGACATCCACCCAACCATTTCAAACTCCACCCAGGATCCAGCCCACTGCTTGCTTCAGGGTTAAGGGTTCTAGAGAGGAGTACTGAGGCAGGGTGCTGTGTTGTTTTTAGGAAGCTATGGACAGCACTCTGCCGGCCTCTCCTGCCAGCCATAATTTGCTTTTGCATTGCATAGAAAAGAAAGACCTAGTAATGATGTCACTAGGTTCAGCATTAGGTATGTAATAAAAAACAGATTGTATTTAATCATTTCATTAGTATGTTCATGTGGGAGCAACCAGGGAGTATACACAGATTATACTTCAGCTTTAAAGTGTATCTCTAGCAAAAACTTTTTTCAATTGTGGATAAAGTGGAAAAGGTTTAGAACCTCTGTCAGTTTTTTTTGTTTTTTTTAATCACTGCCTGTGTTCCTGCTAAGGGAGATTTACCCAATTTGTCTTCATTGTTATAGAGGCAGAAAGTGATGGAAACTAAAATTAGACAAAGGTACCTAGCATAAGATAAGGAGGTGACAAGTTCTCTTCACCTGTCTATACACTATATGGCCACATGTTTGTGGACCTCTTACCAACACACCTATATGAGCTTGATGAACCCATTTTCAAACCATGGCCATTAATATGGAGTTTGCCCATCAATTTGCAACCATAAGCTGCTCCCCTCTTCTGAGAACACTCTTCTTAAGATTGTGGAATGTGTCTTCAGATTTTGGAATGTGTCTCTTCAGCCAGAAGAGCAATTGTGAGGTCAGGTACAGATGGTGGATGAGAAGACTTGGTTCACAATTGAGGTTCCAGTTCATCTCAGATGTGTTCAGTAGGGTTGAGGTCAGGGCTCTGTGCTGACCATTTGGGTTCCACCACATCAGATTTCTCAAGCTATGTCTTTATGGAGCTGGTTTTGTACTCACTGGCACAGTCATGATAGAAGAAAAGAGGGACCTTCCCTAAACTGTTGTTAGAAGGCTGGAAGTGCACAAACCTGCCTCTCTAGCATTAACAGTTCCCTGCCGTAGAAACACTTGAACTCAGTAATTTGGAGGGGTGTACTCATACATTGCCCATGCAGTATACAAGTGTAGTCTCTTCAGATTGATTTTGCTTTGGTATGGGGCCTGAACACCACTATCAGACCAGGGAAAGAAGATTTCAGCTTTTTATACCCACATCCTCAGCATGTCTCCCATGAAGCAATAGGATCTTTCTCTTGGGTTGTGGTAATTGGCTTTATTTACAGATTTCAGCAGCTCTTCAGTTTAAAACAATATCCCACTTATGCATTTGACCACCCCTTTTTTTTTTTGACTTGAGCTTTGGTTAGAACAGGGGCGAGTTATCTATTGCTAGGCCCAATCACGCTTAAGCTTTCCATTGTAGTGCCTTAGAGTGGTTCTAAATGCTGAAGGTTTTTTTTTCCTTCATGCATTCTATGAATAAAGGTAAAAAAACCTTGCCTGAGCCCAATCCCAATGTGCATGAGAGCAGTGGTTCCCTGGGTCTCTACCTCTGAGACACAGGAGCCGGATCCATTTGCTCCCACTTGACAATCACAGCCAGTGGCAGGCCTGAGCCACGCTCTGTGTGTATTATTGACACACAGAGAGGGGCTCGGGAACGAGGATGCATGAGTGCCCCCAGAACAAGCAGTTTGCTCTGGGGGCACTCAGCAGGGGGAGGAGCCAGGAGCACTAGCGGAGGACACAAGAAGAAGAGGAGGATCAGTGCTGCTCTGTACAAAACATTGCCAGAATGGGGATAGGTAGACGTGTTTGTTATTGGAAAAAATAAATCTGAATCTTTAGTATCACTTTAATGTACATTGCATTAAGATAACTCATGGCTACCAATGTACCACAATAGACAAAAAAAGTGCAGGGCTTTTTTTGACAATGCAGTGCTCTACAATCCACGATATATGCGTTGTATGGTGGTGCCACACATAGAGCATAGTGTGACAGCACTGGCAGCGTGCGTTGCCACAACCATGAATAGGCCCTCTATGTCCCAACTGGGGAGACTTTATCTGAATTCCTGTTGTCAGTACAGGAAGTGAAGGGTTTTTTTTTCTCCAGTGGAAACTCAAAATTAAAATACGGGCAGAGGTTCTAAATTTTTACTACTCAGGCTGAAAAGGTGTTTTTAAAAGTATCAGCGCACCTATCCTTTTACCTCCCATTCTCTGACCCAACAACCTTACACCCTCCAGAAAATGCATACACATCTCAGTCCAATGGCTGCAGCTCTGCTGTTTACATCTAGCGTTGCAATCCTTCAATGTCCTGTCTGCGCCTACCATTATAGACTTTTATGGGGAGCCATATCCCGAGGTCTGAGATGCTTAAAGTCAGCCAAACAGAATCTTACATTGACCTGAATAAAACCTGATATTCTGATTGGCTTGTTACAGACAGTTCTACTGTCAGGCTCTTTCATACATAGGCCCATTGTAGCATAGGTGATCGTTCATATTGACAAGACGAGTGTATGAGTCAGTGTGTGCAGACGGATATAGCTCAGTACACAGACGTTGAGCAAGGTAGGTGTTTTATGTGTATTCAGCCTATTTGTTTTATGTATCTCAAACAGGAACTCAGCTGAAGGCCTTGCTTTATTTTTTAACTTTGCTTTTGGACATTCACCTACATCTTCCACGCTGCGGAGACGGACATTTTGCAGGCGATTCCTCCGCGATGTCATAGGCAGTATTCTCGATGACATAATGGCCTCCTCCAGTCTGTGCAGGAAGTAGGTGCCTTTTAGTGCATTTTAACCCACAAGATGGTTATGCAGTTCCAGCGCTGTCAGATGCATAATGTTCTTATGTAGGGAAAACCACTAATTAAAGTGTACCTGTCACCTGGACACAGGGTGCGGCAATAGTCACTGGTTGATTATTACCCACGCTGACCGGATGACAGATCCTCTTAAATGTTGCAGTACTTGCTTAAGTCGTCCTCATCAGCAGAGGGCTGACAGGTCATTTTAATAAGTTCTAAGCACTCTTTTATATTGTCTGTACATTACCAGCACATGTGTATAATAAAATTGTTAACCTATGTATATGTGTGTGTGTGTATATATATATACATATATATATATATATATATATATATATATATATACAAATATATATATATATATTTTTTTTTTAAATATCTGTATATTTCTTCATACTGATTGTCTATCTGTACATACACTGTGCACTCATATGTGACTACATTGTTCTAAACACACAAATATCGGGCTTTTCTTAACATGTGCAAGGAGCAGTGAGTAGAGCAGTAAAGTAGCTCATAGCGTCCAATCTGAAATCCATGGTTTATAATGGACAGATGAATAAATCTCCTTGTTGCTGTGGTTAACATACTCGTTGCACTTTTGTTTCGCCCATGTGAGTTAATGTGTACACACCTCTATGGACATGTACATGTTTGGGGCT